TTTCAAACTCAATTAAGGTTATATCGATTCATATAACACAATGAATGCATTACAACGAACCACATATTCAATATTATTTGTTAATGAATATAGCGCAATAAACGACCAAATATTACATTTTAAAATAGTATCACATAATCCTAAAAGATGAGAAGGAGGGTTTGAGTGGCGATACTTTAAACCTCAATATAAACATCAAAATTGGGTTCAAAGGAATAAAAAGACGCAAAATTCAAGAATGAATTGAATACAAGACAAATACAAATACAAACAATAGAAATATAAGTGATTGAAAAACGCACACAATTCTCATTATTGTAATGAAAACAAAAAGCTTTAAAAATAAAATTTCAATTAATGACATAGAAATTAATCTCAAAAATTAGATTTACTGTATTTAAAATAAATTTAACTTTTAACCATTTTTAAAACTTTGTTATAATTTATAACTTATAAATATAAATTTATTTAAAAAATTGTCCATGTGTGTTTTTGTTGCTAATACTAATAATATTAGTAATACCTTACCCTAATTGTTAGTTACAAACTAATTTAACTATAAATTAACTTTAATATAACATGCACTTTAATATTTTTTATATAACTTTATTTTGAAAATATAATTCAATGTAATAAATATTATTTACCAAAATATGCACTCAAATATACCATGAAGTGTATTATATAAGATTACAAATTCTATATAACTTTTTGTACAATTTAAATAGGGTAACCAACTCAAAATTTTCAAAAACGGGAAATTTTATAAAATATTATTAAAAATTCCGGGACATTGCAGGATTTTCCATAATTTTCACACGAACATTTTGGGCAACATGCCATTTTCCCAAGGACGCTCAATTGTTTTTGTGAAAACTCCGCTGGGACAAAATGTGCCAAACATGGATTTGTCTCGGAAAAAGGACAGTTGGTCACTCTAAATTTAAATGACTGAATGCTATTTTGGAATGCTATAAGAAATCAAAATCTATGGCATTATTGGTACACTTCTCGTACATAACTTATGCCATATGCAACATAACATACAATACCAGACATTTTATGGTTAAATTTATTTGATTTACTTTGAAATATATTTTACATTTGCAGAGAGACATCAGAGTATGACTATTAATGTGTTGTTCACGTATTCATTGCATTTTCCCTCTCATTCCCAATTCAATACATTTTAATCGTTTAATTGAATTCAAATTATTTTTATTTACTGAATAGAAAAGAATTTATTCGCAACAAAATTGATTACTTTTAAATTTTCATTTTAGATATAAATTCATTGTTATGTTTAGATTTTGTTATGAATAACAAACACGACATTTGTATTGCTTTTCGTAAAGAATTTGCTTTTTATTTTGTTGTTTAATTTGAATATATGTTTAGTATTGATGGCACTGTTTGTGTTGTGTAATGTAAACTAATCTTAATTTATATTTTGCTTTTTTCACTTTATTGTGAATTTATAATTCAAACACGTTTTGGGCACTCATTTGTAGAGTCATACGAATACAAAAATATAGGCAACACTTAATTCACTTTTCCCAACCAATTCTCATCATAATTATCAATGAAACAAATGTTGAATAAATAAATTAATCCAATAATACTTATTATCAACGGCTTCCAAAGTGCCAGAATAGTGCCAACCGTATAAAAAATTGTGCACATTATTCATACACTAATGTAAATAAGCGAGTACGTTTATAGTGAGTAATATTTGGAAATTACCATGGTCAAACAATAACCACGTTTAAATTATAAATGTCCCCTCTCTATTTTTGAATGACCTGATTATTATAAAATAGATCATTATTGTATAATTGTATAGTTCATTCATATAAAATATAATTATACATTCGGAACCCGGTTTAATGGATTTTAATTTAAGAATAACTCGATATAAGGGATACCATTTACTGCACGCATAGCAAGATATATTTAATATTTAAAGAAATTGTCATTAAAAATCCCCAAAAATACTTATCAATATAATTATGAATTATTTCAAAAATAAAACTATTAATAATAAACACAATTGAAGTGCTCGTTTTTAAAAAACATTTTTAAACATATTTAACATGGGATTGCAGCTTAAGTCTATGGCCCATAGACTATGGGCATACTTTAACATGGGTAATGCTAAGTCTATGACATAAGAATAACATGGGCAATGCTAAGTCTACGACATAGGGATAACATGGGCAATGCTAATCCTATGGACTAATGTTAAATCTATGGACAAGGCTAAGTCTATAGGGAGTGCTATGGACTTATATTAAATATGTAGATAATGCTAATCTATTCTATGATCATCACCCGAATTGTAGTTAACGTATAGCATCGCTGTGTGAGTTGTTTGTAAACTACTAACAAGTAAGAATTAGTAGAATTGAACTAAACAGGCAATACAATTTAAATGCATCTTAATAATTTCTTAAATACTTTTATTAAAAACACTTGTGTTTGGCTGAAAGTACAAGAAATGGAACTAAATTCAAGAATGTTCACGAATTTGTTGTAAAATTATATAAAATGCCTAATTTTCAAATGTCCCGTCACTCGAATGCACTGCAACTTATAGTCTAATAATTAAATATTTATTATTATTATTATTATCGAACAGTTATTGTTAAATATTTATTAGAATTGTATTTTAAATGTTGATTAAAAAGAATATGATTTGTGTTAACTGTAAAGCAATTTATAAGCGATTACTAACCGAAGTTACAGCTGAAAAGTAAAGCAACCAGAAAAGTGCTAACAAAGTCCTTTTTCTCAACTTCAATGCAATAGTTTCACTCAATTCCAGTTACAATTACAATGATTATCGCAATTATTTTATGAGTTTAACATTGATTTTAAACTGTTAAACTGACATTTTAAAATTATATTATTTTTTTGAAGTCTTTGACTAATTAACAACTTTTATAAGCATGGTACTATATTAATCATCGAATAGCAAAGCAAAGAATTGATCTTTGAAGAAATAATATTTTAATATTAATTTAATATTAAATACTAGGGATGGGATAAGACATGAAAACTTTTTTGCCGTGTAGCATACAACACAAAATTGTTTGTATTATTCATGTGATACAATGCTAACCAATGGTTTATATTAATATTAAGCCCAGGCACTTGATGCTAAAAATTTCAATTATTCCTAGTAGTTATAAAAAAGCCTCTATAGTCACATACCATCTCAGTCAACACAATATTATGCATAGCATATGCATGGCATACATTGTCTTGACTGAGATGGCAATGGTATGTGACTATAGAGGTTTTTTATTACTACTTGAAAGCTGTAACCTTGAGCCGAAAGTGCCTGGCCCTAATTAATATACACATATTAATATATATAATGTATGTACTAATGTGTATCTTCTTAAACATTTTATGTGATAATTGTTATTAATTCAATTCGCAAATCTAGACGTAGAAAACGTCAGAAAACATTCATAAACTTATTATTGCTAAATTTTCTTGAATATTTAGATTTTTCAAAATCTTTTTTGAAACTACGCAACTATTAAATATTACCCTAGATGTAATTATTTTTATTATTTTAAATACATTGAAATATAATTAATGTCTCTATCTTTCGAGAATAACATGTCATTAGTCTCAAGGGTTGTAAAGACTCCAAAATATGTCACTTTTATTTTCCGATTTTGACATATGTGAAAACTCCCGAAAAGCCCGTTTTATGCAGGATTTGTCCGAAAAGACCGATTTTGCTAAAAATAATAAGGAATTTCGTATATTTAGAAATAAATCTAATAAATGTTGGTCTTTAAAAATAAAATTGCTTTAATTATAATATGAGTTCCCACATTTATCATGGTTTTATTAAAAGTATGCTTTGATTTCATCATTACATATATTTCAACAAATGTAAATTAGTTGATCATCATAGAAAATCAAAATTTGACTTAATTTATTGCTTATTTATTGATTAATGTAATAGAAATTCACTTTAATACAAATAAATAACTCATTTATAAGCACTAAAACCCGCTAAAGCCATTCAAGATCCACTATTGTATACGGCTTTCTGCCTATGTTGAGGATGAAAATTATTGAGTATGAACGCATGCGCGTATAGTTTATAAAAGTATAGCATAATATTCAACCCCCATCCCTACCCACCCCATCCTCAACATAGATCATCCTCAACATAGACGGAAAACCGTAGTGAGATTATACTTTAGCAATAGAATGATTAATGCTATCAAATATTAATCGGCTTATAAATCGCTATACTTATAACACATACAGTATTGACTATTTACTATTGCATTACAATATGACAATCCCTGTTTATAAACAACAGAAATACCCTATAACTTCAAATACAAGCTTTATTTATAAGTTTTTGTTCCCGATTTTATTCCCGAATTTGGCCATTTTATACTCCCGATTCCCGCCCGAATTTGAGTGTTTTTATTCCCGAAAAATAGTCTTTAATTATATCTGATGTAAAGTTTATAATACTGTATATTGCCCATCCTTATTAAATATAGAGAAGAAATTCTAGTTTTTATTGTTTTATTTTTACTTCCTTACAAATGATTACCAGTGTTTCAAACCTGTTCTCATCTTATGTGACATTCATACCATGTTTATACGGTATAATACGACTACAGTATACAGTATTACGAATCCAAATTACCCAATACTAGAGCTAGTGATGTGTCTCAAGCTTTGGTCGCACTCATTGCCGTCACACCCAGAGGTGCCCAAAGGAGGTGCCCAATGGAGGTGCCCAAAGGAGGTGCCCCTGGAAGGTGTGTCGCCAAATGTCATATTTATGTAATCGACACCAAATTTAATTAATTTAATATTTTATTTTTGTTAATTAAAAGCATCTAAAGAACTAATGATAAGAATTAGATATAATTATTGTATGAAATAAAGAGTACAAATTGTATGGCATTTGATTTGCTTTACGATATATCAATTGTAAGGTTTATAACATACGATATATTTTGAAATAACAATTATATTTTATTGGAATAATCAAATGAATGGTTATATAGTCTAATAAGAATAATATAGCATTTGGTCCCGAATTCAACCATCATATTAAACAACTACTGGTTCTAAACTCAAGTGTCTTATTGTGACAAAAATATTAAATACAATATAGATATAAAATGTGTATATAATTTGGTATTCAAATAAATGTACAGTTATTGTAGAGCTTATTATAAATTATAACTAATTTACTCTGACATACATTATAAAAATAAAATAAAACTGCAGGAATCGTAGTGCAATCAATGGCTTAATTGTACACTTGGTCAAAGTAGATAACAATTTTATAGCAAATAATCATAATTACAATAATTCATTAATTCTTATTAATAGACTTAATAGTTATAATTGTTGTAAAAGTGTATGAAAGTGTTGGGTATAGAAAGCTGTGAGCTTTATGTTCTGTATTACAATAATAATTGTATCAATATTTGTTTGGCACCTAAACATCAATTATACAATATTTATATTAACTAATGTTTGTATTTGTTTTACATTGCGTTCAGTTGTGTTTAATTCAATGTTAAGTGCGTTAACATTTAAATGTAAATATATTTTTTGCATAAATTTATGGCAGTGTGTGTTTAGATTGAGTGTAATTTTAGATAATACACAACACTATTAATTATGACAATTATTACAACCATTAATTCAATATAATATAGAAAAGCATTACAAATATTGTATAAAAATATATTAACTTTATATTAATTCTTAAGTTAATTTCCTTTTAGTTCTGATTTTAGCCGCAAAAATAGCACTTAAATTAAATTTAAAATCCCTTTTCCTCCATATATTTAATGCAAACTATTTATAGTATATTTTACTTTAAATTATAAAACTTATTTAATTCTGACTCAACGATATATTTGTAAATATAATGTAATATAAAAAGTCTATAGATTTGAGCCAATATTATAGAAAATATGTAATATTTGTTTCATTTATTAAAAAGTAAACACAAAGTGTGTAAATATGTTTATACGGATTCAAGCGGTAGGCGTTAGGCCCTCTTTTTCGTTATATTTCAACAAGTTTTTGCCCGAACCGTCCTCTACGATGGCCTTTGAATATTCCTGCATTAGTTCCCTAAAGTGCTGTCCGTCCATATTCTTGCACAGAAGATACCTGTAATACACACATTACACACATTACACATCATTCACCAATCATTGCATCAAAAGTGGTTAGTGTTTGCAAAGTAAGTCACTTACAGGAGAAACCAGTCGCCAATCTTTGCCACTTCCATCACTAGCCGAAGATGATTACGATCTGTGAGTCGGGCCCGCGATCTCAGTGTTACGTAACGTAAATGAGGGAAAAATATTATAACTAAACGATAGATGAGAATAATTCCAGAAATGATGGCCAGAAAGACAAACCAAAACCAGAGGAATATATAAATCTTTTCGTTAACAATATTGAGGGGAAGAATACAAAGAGCGTCGTGTCGTTGGACATCACCGGAGGATCCGAAGCGATGAAACGTACATTTGGTCATACGGGGGAACACAGCGATCATGGGGTCCACTCTGGCCTCCTGATCCATTTCCGTGTACTTCAATACATCCAAACCGTATGTACTGAACGCACCGCCGAGGAAGGCGTCAATCAGGTACATCTGAATGATCACATTCACAAAGTTGAGTACTTCGCACACCACGAAGTAGAAGAAATATGAGTTATGGAATCGGATGTTGGCCTTCAAGTATTGCACCAGAAGAGCGATCTGTTCCGCTTTGTCCTTGTCTTGCATTATAGGACTATTCAGTCCCAACACTAGACTCCGAAGTCTTCCGCCTTCCCATAGTTTCCATAGATATCGCGGAATATAAAACATAACCGATTGTAGGAATAATACAAAACACACCCATTGATAGTATTTATGGTATTGAGCAAAGAGAGGCCCCCACATGAATAGCTATGGGCCTACCCCGTGAAGGTGGGGATGGAAGAACAAGTCTCGTAGGCCATCACATTTGCAGCTCACTTAGGATATCAGTCAGTAGTGTAGTAATATACAATTCACACAATCATAGCTTCATATACTCACCAGCAATACGTGTCCAACAAATTGGTGGGAATGTCGTCCCTATGGATCACAAGACAGTGATGGAGTCAATGAGTGAATCAATGGTCAATCTATGGTCAAGTCGTTGACAAACCTTTGAATACAATCGATGGGATCCCCGAAGTATTGGTTGGAAGTGACGAGCAGTGAAAAGGCCACTAAGAAGATGACGGTTGCCTTATAATGCAGGCGAAACACATTGTTGTCTATGCAAACCGAGTCCAACTTCACCAACCGCTTCACCGATCCAAACAACTCAAACACCATGGTCAAGCACGATCACACCTAGTACACCTATTACACCTTGGTCAATTACTTTTACTAGAACTATCACTATGGTCCAAATGTTGTCGCTATCATGTGGTGGTCAATGAGTCACATCATAGTAGAAGTGGCCGGAAGTGATGCAGTGATGGTTTGGCCGAGAGTTAAGTGAAGACAATAGCGTTGGATCACAAGACGCGGACAGTTATGGCACCACAACAGCACTCACTCAGCCTTTCCACCACTCAATGCCCTCCCCCTCCACACCATTCCTATACCATTGCATACATCACTCGATCCCCCACTCCATCATTGGCTCAAAGCATACTTCAATTATACACATTTCGGGGCCAAAAGCAAATCATAATCACATTTATTAGAACTTGTTTTAAAGTTTTGCAGACATATTATACCGTCTGTACTGTACATCCAATGCCACCCAATGCTGTGCCCAATGCAGTCCCAAATGCTGTCAATACTATCTCAATATTACATCACTTTTCATACATTTACAGCGTTTACACATTCATCACAAATATATTCATATTTTTATATAACAGTACAGATAACCCTTGTATCTTGAAGTGGTCGGGTCTTGACAAATGACTTCAAGATAGAAGGATTTCAAGTTAGAAAAATTCAAGTTACAATGTTCAAAATGAGTAAAATTTCAAGTTAGAAGTTTAT